TATCTAGAAGTTGCTTTTACAATTATAAGTTTTTTATTAGTTTTAAATAACTTGAAGTGATTTTTTTACTTATAAGTAACTTTTTACATTCTAGATAGTGTAATCTTTTTATCAATATTTAATTTTAAAAACTAAATATATCTAAATATTTATACTTAAAAAATTATAGGTTAATATATTTTTACTTATAAATAGCTTTTGCAATTATAAAAGAAGTAGAAATTAATATTTTTTTACCTATAAGTAACTTTTACAATTATAAGCTTTTTATAATTTTTAAATAACCTGAAGTGTTTTTTTACTTATAAGTAACTTTTTATATTCTAGATAGTGTAATATTTTTATTAATATTTAATTTATAAAACTAAATATATCTAAATATTTATACTTAAAAATTTCAAGTTAATTTTTTTTACTTATAAGTAACTTTTACAATTATAAGTTCGTTTCACTTTTAAATAACTTGAAGTGATCTTTTCAGTTATAAGTAACTTTTTACATTTTAGAAATAAAGAATAATTTTTATATAAAAAAATATTTTAAAAAATATTATTATTAATAAAATTATAGGATATGGTCGATAGTTGATAGCGTGAGAAGATGAAGTAAGAGTACTATGTGTCAAATTCAAAGCATGTAAGCTGCAGGTAAAATAGAAAACAACGTCGTTTCTACTCCACCAATTAAAAAAAAAAGTTACAGTGTGACAAAATATTATTTAAAAAAAATATTACAACTAATAAAATTATAGTATATATTTGATAGTTGATAACGTGAGAAAATGAAGAAAAGAGTATTGTGTATCAGATTCAAAGGACCAAACCAATTTAATGTGAAAAATAATATGACAAAAATGAATAGTAAGATAAAGAGGGATAATATAATAATAAAAAAAATCACTTTGACTAAACCCATTTCAAACCAGTTGAATATAAAAACGCATATGACAAAAATGAACCGTCCAACTTTGTGGAAAAAAAACAGTAATTCCCACCTCCATCAATAGAAAAAAATTGAAAATTTTTTAAATAGAATAAATTAATATTGAAAAATTTTTAAAGAGAAAAAAAAATTCTCCTGAAAAAATTAAGTTCAATAATAAATAAAGAGAAAAAATTTCATAAAAATTTTAAATAGAAAAAAATTATCTATAATATCAAAATAACAAATTACAAAATGAATAAATAAATAAAAATTTTCAAAACGTAATTTTATTTTTGCTCCGTGCAGGGAGTAAATATTCACTCTGTGCATAAATTTTTAAATAAATATTTAGATATATTTAATTTTTTAAAATTAAATATTAAAAAAAGATTACAATATCTAGAATGTAAAAAATTACTTATAAGTAAAAAAATCACTTCAAGTTATTTAAAAGTAATAAAAAACTTATAATTGTAAAAGTTACTGATAGATAATAAAATATTAATTTTAACATTTTTAAGTAATTATTTAGATATATTTAATTTTTAAAATTAAATATTAATAAAAATTTACTATAGTTTAAGAAAAATAAAAATAAAAAAATAAAATAAAAAAACTTGCATGAAGTGTCTCTATACAAGTGTCTTCATAGAGACACTCCACTCCATGCATGGACAGTTCATGCACAGAGTGTTAAAGCTCCTTGCATGAAGTGTTAGTATATGTTTTTGTTTTATTTTGTTTTTTTATAGAAATTTTTTATTAACATTTAATTTTAAAAAATTAAATATATCTAAATATTTATTTAAAAATGTTGAAGTTAATATTTTTTATTTGTAAGTATCTTTTATAATTATAATTTTTTTATTATTTTTACATAACTCGAAGTGATTTTTTATTTATAAGTAACTTTTTACATTCTAGATAGTGTAATCTTTTTATTAATATTTAATTTAAAAAACTAAATATATCTAAATATTTATATTTAAAAAATTATAAGTTAATATTTTTTTATTTATTAATAGCTTTTGCAATTATAAGAGGAGGGATTAAGTTATAAGAGAAGGAAGGATTAATATTTTTTTTACCTATAAGTAGGTTTTACAATTATAAGTTTTTTTTATTATTTTTAAATAACTTGAAGTGCTTTTTTCACCTATAAGTAACTTTTTATATTCTAGATAGTGTAATTTTTTTTAACATTTAATTTATGAAACTAAATATATCTAAATATTTATACTTAAAAAATTTTAAGTTAATATTTTTTTACTTATAAGTAACTTTTACAATTATAAGTTCATTTTACTTTTAAATGACTTGAAGTAACTTTTTACATTTTAGAAATAAAGAATAACTTTTATGTAAAAAAATTATTTTAAAACATAATATTACATATAAAATTATAGGATATGATCGATAGTTGATAGCGTGAGAAGATGAAGAAAGAGTACTGTGTGTCAGATTCAAAATATGTAAGCTGCAGGTAAAATAAAAAACGACGTCGTTTCTATTCCACTAATTAAAAAAAGGCTACAGTGTCACAAAATATTATTTAAAAAAATATTACTAATAAAATTATAGTATATAGTTGATAATTGATCGCGTGAGAAAATGGAGAAAATAGTATTGTGTATCAGAATCAAAGGACCAAACCAATTTAATGTGAAAATCAATGTGACAAAAATAAACGGTAAGATAAGAAGTATTAAAAAAAAATACACTACTTTGACCACTCATTTAAAACCAATTGAATGTGAAAATGCATGTGACAAAAATGAACTATCCAGTTTCGTGCAAAAAAAAAGTAATTTCCACATCCACCAATAGAAAAAAATTGAAAATTTTTTAAATAGAAAAAAATTCTCATTTCCCGAAGAGAAAAAAATAATTGAAAAAAATTAAGTTCTATCATAAATAAAGAGAAAAAAAATTCATAAAAATTTTAAATAGAAAAAAATTATCTATAATATTAACTAAACAAATTACAAAATAAATAAATAAGAAAAAAAATTTCCTCCATTGGAGATGATCTCTCCGTAAGGCTCCATCTCACAAAGAGTTTGGAGAGAACACTCTCCTTTCACGGAGAGTTTCACTCTTTAAAAGGAGGGAACCCTCCTTTTTAAAAGTCAAAATAAAAGTCTCTGGAGAGATTTTATCCGTCCGCGAAGAGATCTTTTTGTCCCCCCTTTTTTAAAGGAGGGATAATTTTGTTAATACGATATAAAATTCTTTTTAATTCTTTTATGGTAAAATTTAATTTTTGTAACTTTCTTTTATTTTATTTGTTTAATTTGGTTTAATAAAATAATCTTTATACATTTTTTATGATAGAACGAATTTTGTTAAATTTGAATTAAATAATATTTGTTTTTAATTTTAAACGATAAGGAGTTAAATTTAAAAACTTTATAATAATTTTTTTTCTATTTTTTCCTACAATTCTTTTTTTTTAATAATCTTTATATTTAGTTTCATTTCTTTATCATATATAAAGGAAAAGAATTCACAAAAATTTTAAATAGAAAAAAATTATCTATAATAGCAACAAAACAAATTACAAAATAAATAAATAAGAAATTTTTTTTCCACTCATTGGAAAAGATCTCTCCGTGAGACTCTATCTCATGGAGAGGAAAGTCTCCGTGAAAGGAAAGGTTTCACTCTTTTCAAAATGAGATAACTCTCCTTTTGGAAGGAAATATTATCTCTCCGTGGATGGAGAGATTTTCTTTGTCCACGGAGAAATTTTTTTTTTTTTAAGAAGGGATAATTTTGTTCATATTATATTTCAATATAAAATTCTTCTTAATTCTTTTATGGTAAAAAAAATTAAATTTTTTAATTTTGATAATTAATTAAATAGCATTTATATATTATTTATTTAATTTTTGTAACTTTCTTTTATTATATTTGTTTAATTTGATTTAATAAAATAATATTTAAACATCCTTTATGATAAAACAACATTTGTTAAGTTTGACTTAAATAATATTTATTTTTAATTTTAAATCATTTTAATTTAACTTAAAAAGTTTGTTATAATTTTTTTTTTCTATTTTTACATGCAATTCCTTTTTTTAATAATCTTTTTATTTAGTTTCCTTTATTATATAATATAGTATTGACTTTCATAAAATGAAGTAGTGTGTGAAAATGGAGAAATATTGTAGAAGAAGTGACATTACAGTGAAAACGGCATATGAAAATGGTGAAATGGCGTGTGAAAAAAATGCTACAGTGTGATTAAATAGAATAATTTATTGTTGTCAAACCAGTTTAATGTCAAAATTTATGTGACAAAAATAAATAATAAACCTCACATTCTCTCTTTTAAGATAAGGAATGAAAAATGAAACAAGAAGGTGCTTTCCTCTCTCTCTCTCTCTAGATTATTTAGTGGGTACAAGAGCATCTCCAATACATTTTTTTTGTATTGCAATCTAAATGACATCTAAATACATGGTACTAAGTTTAATAGATAGACAAACTAGTTCAAATTTACCTTCAATAAATTTCGTCTATAAAAATAATAAACATGATAAGAGAAGAAAATAAGAAACAAAAGAGAGAAAAACCTTATATCATTGTTGACTCAATTCGTCAAAAAAATTATATACATCATCCTTTTGACAATATCTATTTTTTCTTGGCACGTCAACTTGACATAATCCTAAACATCTTAAGTCGGAGAATGTACTTTTATTAATATTGTCTATTTCAACTTATATTGTAACAATCCACATTAACGTTTAAGATGCTCTAAACGGATTCAACTGACAAGAAAAAATGTATCTTTGACTACAATTTATTTTGTTTTCAATGGACTAAATATTTGTATAATGAATATTGTGTATTTATCAAAAATACTTTACAAATAAAGCCCTTGTTTGAACCTTTTTTTGGGGAAGAATGAATTTTTGAATAGTGTATTGATTGAAAATGTGTGGTTAAAAAATAAAGAAAATTTTTAAATTTACGTGTAATATTATTTTATTGAAGAATATGTGGTTGAAATGATGTCAAAATACTATTGAAAAATATATTTTTTCAAAAAAATGGAGCTCAAACAAGGGCAAAGTGGTACAACAAACAATCCAGAAAACAGAGAATTCTAGACCAAATCTTCCCCCAGTGATATTTACCCTAATGAAAATTCAAAGCCCAGGAAACACAAAATTTCCGACCAAATCTTCCCCAGCAAGAAACCTGATTATCTAACCCTACAGCTACACCATCTCTCCCGCACCAGCAAATTCTATCAAATCAGAAAGGGAAAAAAGAGAGAAACAAAGATGGTGTTTTCATATGAACCCAACAAAGTTTTATCAGCTGCTGCCTCTGTAACCGCCTCAATAATTCTCTTCAAATCCATTGCCAATGACCTTATACCAGATCAAATCCACAACCGCATCCATAATTTCTGCAAACGCTTTTCAACCCAAATCACAGTCGTTATACAAGAATTTGAAGGCCTCACTTCAAACAGTATGTTTGAAGCTGCCAATCTTTATTTAGGCACCAAAATCTCTCCTTCAACACAAAGAATCAAAGTCCACAAACCCGAAAAGGATGAAGACTTTACAGTGACGGTGGATAAAAACCAAGAAATTATTGATTTGCATGCAGGTGGGTTTTACAATTCATCTCATTTTACATTTCAAGCAATGTGAAATTTCTACTCTTAACATCCTCCCTCACACCAATCTTGAAAGCTAACTCCGACCGACAATTTTCGTGCAGGAATTAAATTCAGTTGGATTTTACAGAGCACCCAGGTCAAAGGGACTACTAAAAGTGACAAAAATGGCAGTACCAGAACAGAATCCAGGTACTTCGAATTGAATTTTCACAAGAAACACAAAGACAATGTATTGAAAGGATACTTGCCATATATATTGAGAAAAGCTAAGGAGATTAAAGAAGAGAAAAAGGTGGTAAGATTACATACAGTTGATTACAATGGCATAGACTATTGGAGTTCGGTGATCTTGAACCATCCCGCAACACTCGAATCAATGGCAATGGATCCTGATGCAAAGAAGGAGCTGATTGACGATCTTGATCGGTTCATAAGCAGGAAGGATTACTACAGGTATCAAGTCTTGGCATTCCATGTCAACCATATTACGAGCAGTTGTACTAAAAATGTTTATAGTTTGGTAATTGTTTTTATATTTTACCCTTAACAGGAGAGTTGGGAGAGCCTGGAAACGTGGGTACCTGTTCTTCGGGCCACCAGGTACCGGAAAGTCAAGTCTGGTGGCAGCCATTGCTAACTATCTCAAGTTTGATGTGTATGATTTGGACATAAAAGAAGTGCAATGCAATTCAGATTTGAGAAGGCTGCTTATTGGCACTGCAAATAGGTCTATACTTGTGATAGAAGATGTTGATTGTAATGTGGGGTTGCAGAATAGGGAGGCTGGTGATGGAGTACCTGATGATGAAAAGGTTTATCTTTTGCCTGATTTCTATTCGATGAAATGTCACAGTTATCCTAATTTGATGAAAGTGTGCATCCCATACAATTTTCTCATGCATTAACGTAGGGTTTTATATATATATATATATATACACACACAGATTACTCTCTCTGGACTACTTAACTTCATAGATGGCTTGTGGTCGAGCTGTGGAGATGAGCGGATCATAATATTCACAACCAACCACAAGGACCGGTTAGACCCAGCCTTATTGCGACCAGGTCGGATGGATGTGCACATAGAGATGTCTTACTGCACCTTCAGTGGTTTCAGAATATTAGCATCTAATTATCTAAAAACGGAGGAGCACACACTATTCCCAGCGATCCAGGAGTTATTGACTAAAGTTCAGGCAACACCAGCAGAAATTGCAGGAGAGCTCATGAAGAGTGATGATGCAGATATTGCAATATCATGTCTTGTCAAGTACTTAAAGAACAAGGAGAACAGAACATGAATGCAGTCAAAACATCAATGCACTCACAAAAAAGGGAGTAGAAATATGTTTGGAGCACAGTATTAAACTGTACGAGAGAACATTTTCAACTTCATTTCCCTCTGTTTGGTAGCCATTAAAAAAAGTTTTTTTTTTCCTTTTTTTTTTAATAGGAAAATGAATTTTGGAATGGTGGTTTTTGGAGAATGTGTCATTAAAAAGTACAAAAAAAATTGGGTTTACATACAAAATATTTTATTTTGTGAATGTGTGGTCGAAAATAAGTTTGAGCAAAAAAAAGAAGAGTTTCGTTTTAATGGATGACAAATAGGGGCTAAATATTGTCAATAATTCTCCAATCCATTTTATCAAACATGTCGTAGGTGTACTGATGAATTAGAGGGCTAATTACCTTTAGACTAGTGTTGGAATCATTTAACCCATGTTTGACAATCATTATTTAAATAAAAATGGAGTTTTGAAAAGTGTTTTTTTGGAGAATGTATCGTTAAAAAGAAGAAGAAAAATTTAGATTTAAGTGTAAAATATTTATTGTGTGATTGAAAATTAGTGTGTAGAAAAAAGAGTTTTGAAATAATGATTGTCAAACAGGAGCTTATGTTCGAATTTTCCACGAGAATTTTGGTTTACCTACCAATTTTCTCTTTGTCATATCATCTACATAGTTGACAAAGTTTGTGCGCATTATTGTGGATTAAATGCTAATTCCTATATTCGAAGCAAATAATTAATTAAAAAAAAAAAAAAGAAGAAGAAGAAGAAGGAGCCAAGCAGACACAGTTTTACAGTTATTCGACCTCTGCAGTGGAGGAAAAGATGACTGCTCTAAGGAATTGTCAAGGCCAGAATGGAAATAAAAGGAAATGAACGAAAGTTTCCAACCTTTGGCATTTCAATAAAAAAAAAACCTTAATATTTTAAAGGCAATCAACTAGAAATTCTGTGTGTAATGAAAAGAAACTACACATTAACAACATGAAATAAAAGCTTAGGAATATAAGCATTCGTGATAAATCCCGAACAAAATAAAACTTCAAGGAGTTTCTAATTGATGCAAGTATTCTCTGGAAACATCACTTTAAACCACTAAAATAGATGGAGACAGACAACGAGACCATAAAAGAGAACAGTGGATTTTAAAAAGAGGAAGAAAGGATACTGCAAAGGTAACTAGAGTTTCATAGTCCATATCTAATAAATGTTCATTAGCATTTATTCGCAACTAACCATTTACAGGTGTTCGTTATCTGCATAATCCCAACTATATTTCCTTTGTCTCGAACCTGGAAAAATAGATACAACGAAAAATCACCTTTTCTGAAAGAAATCTTTGAACATGAAATAAATTTGCATGTTTCTGTTATGTCTTTTGAGTGGAAGACTTTATCAGATTCATACGGATGCACTTGTGATATTGAGAATTTTAAAAGAATCAAAAGTCCCTTTGGTGCACATCCAGTTAATAAATCGGAGGATAGTACAAGCAGTGAGAAAATTGAGGTCCTGTGCGATACAGTTAATTTACTAGAATTTGAAAACTGAATATTAAAAAGCAGACTTTATTCTCAATGAGGGAAAATTGAACCAACAACAGAAATACCAAAAAGAATATTTTAATGATCTGCAGTTACCTTTGTCCACAATATTTGTCTTTCCGCCCTTCAAATATTACACTGCCAACTTCATTTCTAGCTTTGAATGAGGTTCGTAATTTATAAGTTCAAAATCAGCAGCTACAAATGAATCAATGTCCTTTGTCTGTGGGTTGATCTTCAAAATCTGTTCATAATTGGATAAGGGATATCAAAATCCATATTGGAAGAGACACAACATGAATGGGTGTATTCAAATGATGATGACAATCTCTCAATTGAAGAAGTAATTTTTATTTTTTTATTCTTTTTTTTTTTTTAAAGGTAATCAAATATTTTATTAATCAATGGAAAATATATAACGAATTTATTACCAATTTACTCTAGAAAGGAACAACATGAAATTAGACAACCCGTCTATATGCCCAGTACCCACATAATTAAACAATTGACGAAGTAATTGTTAGGAATTGACTTTGTATTGTTGGGTTTTAAAACATTGCCAAATCTTGGGAAAAACTATACACGCGACACAGGATCTAAAAGCATTTTTGGGAATTGATTATAAACAGTTTAAATTATAAATAAATAGAAATGATGGGTGGATAGTTGGGTAGTACTTTAGGTCCCGCGAAATGTGTGGATAAAAAGTAAGGTTGACTATAAGTGTTAATAATTCAATCAAGTGCTCAATAACAATAGAATTCAATGCAACAAAATAAAAATATTCTGGTATACTTACCGGGAAAGGCTTTGGAATTTGTTTAAGTTGCTCCTGTAGAGGACTGATGTGTGTTTTATAAACATGAGCATCTCCAATTACATGGATTAAATCACCTGGAACAAGACCTGTGGATGGGAATTGGATTGAAGCATTAATCAGTGTACCTCCATAAATAAGCCCCCCACTGGGTTGAAATTGAGAGCTATAAAGCATCGTCAATTTCCAGTCATTTTTCACTCATTAAATGAGTGCATACCACAAACATGAGCAATCATGCATGTCAATAGAGAATATGATGCGATATTAAAAGGCACCCCAAGACCCATATTAGCCGAGTGCTGATACATCTGGCATGATAGCTCGCCATTGGCTACATAAAACTGCAACAAAATAACATATTAAATTAACAGAGTAAGAAATTTGAATAAAATCCATTATAGGTCAGCTTGATACAAGAACTCTTGATTTTCAACATTGTTATCCATCTTTTTTTTAAGCCTTTTCAAATTTCTTTTACATTAAGGGTCAAGGGCAAGGCAACCTGTGCGAACATGTGGCAAGGGGGCAATGCCATCAACTTGAGATCAGAAGGATTCCAAGCAGAGAGGATAATTCGCCTGTCATTGGGTTCATTCTTGATCTTGTCTATGACATCTAATAATTGATCAAATCCTTGGCCAGTGTAGTCAGTGTGCATGTTGGTGTATCTGTGGAACACAAATTTTTACAAGTTACTTTCAGAAGTGTGGCTAAAATACAAAGCTTTCCACAAATCATGTTCAAGTGTATACTGTTAACCTGGCACCAAAGTGCCTCCATTGAAACCCATATACTGGACCTAAATCACCCTCTTCCCTGTCTGTCAGTCCTATACTGGAAAAGCCCCATCACATACACTCGTCAGATTAGATAACACTGACAAAGGACAACTAATTCTGAAAGTAGACCATTGCCTGTCAAGGTATTCACTTGATGCATTTCCATCCCATATATTAATGGCCTTTTCCTGTAGAACCTTTTACAAACATAAACTATATACAATCAACCTTCTTTCCAAGAAAACAAGTAAATACATAATTAAAAACCAAAAAAAGGGACATATTTTACAGATAAGAACACGATAAATGTTAAGGAGAAAAAAGATGACAGTACGGAAAAAATAATTGTGAGACTTACAAAGTTCAGAAGTGAGGGTATAATGACTTGATTCACATCGGCAGTAGAATTTTCCGTATGCCAAAACATAAAGAGTTTGCTAATTCTTTCCCTTTTATTGTCACTGATAATTAAAATTACCACTCCTGTCCTCCCCTGGTACATTCATGCCTTTGTCGTTAATGTTTTCTTTTACTAACACAACCGAAAAATTTAGTTATGAATTATATTTAACAAGTGATGAGCATCAATTGGGGCATTTGGATAGAAAAGGCCTAAAATTTCAGAGGAATGTCATTTCCTTCTCGCTATTTGTGGGACAGGGTGGTTTCATCATGGATTTAGCTGAGGTTCTTTAGTTCAGTAGCTCTTTCAGATGTGCAATATTGTTTGAGTTAGGGCTAGACGTGGTTTTCGGGTATTTAGTAAGTAGAATCTCGGGTCCAAATTTAATATGGAATTGTTCCGGTTCGGTTCAATTCCCAAGTTTCGTATTATAATTAAAATTTTTAATATTTACAAAGCTACTTACTTTAACTAATGACATGTTCAATCTTAGTTCTTTCAAAATAACGTAATCCAATTTTATGTATCTTCTGAGTCTCTCTTTACTGAATTCTCCATAGATTTGATCGTTAAAATCTCTTCTAGTAGGAGCTCATATTAATAAAAAGAGGCGCAGCTGAGCCTCAGTTCAATTTCTCTAGAATGGTAGAATAACAAATTTAGGTAAAACTAAAATCAATTTGATTAAGTTGCGCCTGGACTAGAAATTAGAATTAGGAAAATCACAGTTTTAGATTTGGACTAAATTAATTAATTAGTAAGTTTATTCAGAAAAAATAAAATAATTTCACTTATTTAAGATAAATAAATTAAAAAATTAGGAAATTCGGTTCTTATTAGGTTCTTTATCTACAACCGAGAATCGAACCGAACCCATCGATTTTCGATCCAGATACCTATTCGAGTATTTAATTTAAGAATAATCGTTTGGTTCAGTTCGGTTCGGATCGATTCGAAAGTTTTGTCCAGCCCTTGTTTGAGTGCATACTTAGCTTATTTTCTCCTATATTACACAATAAGTACTTTTTTTATAAGTTTATCCATACTTCTATTCTTATTAAATTAAATAAATTGAGTGATTATCTACTTAATTTCTGTAAATTATATTAATTGTATGAAAAATCCCAACTTGGATACAAATGGTGTGAATCTTGTTCTATAAATATATATCTTAATCCACTATATTACATGTTATGATTCGTACTATTGCGGAATATAAAATCGACAAGAAGTTTTTGCCTTTTCAATTCAGCAATCCATGGCAAGTGTCCTGTCTCCTTCAATTGAAAGAATTTCCTCACTTATCAAAAGATTAGACAATTATAACAATAGTTATAGTATTTATAGAAACCGCCAAGGAAATTAGCTTAATATGTCACAGGTTGGGTGTATGAACCCTCAAAAAATCCAATCGTGCAGATTCTTCCCCTAACTAGGAAGAGACCTCAACAAAATTGCCTTATAGGATATATAATATTACTATACAATCTTTAAACTTTCACAATGAAAATACGGAAATTCAAAAGAACATTTCACCATTACAAACTGTATTTTAAGTGGCTGCGACATATACAGTGAGGAAACGAAAAAAGGATGATAATCACCTTAGCATTGGTAGATCCACTAAGAAACCACAAAAGCTCTTCAACAACTCCTCGCCAGAAAATGCTCTGTGCAACAAGAACACCACGAACCATAGAATGTATCACTAAATGTTCATTTCAAAAACTGCTTGATATTTTACGGATAATGGAAAAGGGACTTTCGAGTTTTTAGGTGGTAAATATACCACAAATGATGCTAGATGTTTCACCAGTATCTCAAAATGGAAAATGCATAGACCTACTTGTGAAATGGAACAAGAGATATCTATAATAACAAAATGATTACCTTACAACGTAAATTTTAAACAAGAATCAATACCTTAGTAGTGAGAAGTGGAAAAGATTTTCGCAGATTAAAGCGCATCTGAGAAACGAAAGGCACAAGCATTAGAAGTGCGATATCTATCATCCACAAACTTTAGCCATGAATCCATGCACTCATAACACCAATGCCTTTAAAGTTTATTATTTACCTGGCACCCAAATTTTGAAAGAGTACCAGTGCCCATCTGGTCACCTTTGTCATTGCCATTTGAAATAATATCTTGAACCAGTTTCAAATAGAGAAACTCCTCATGCTTCTCGAAAATCGTCTTCGGCAGGAAAGTGAAATTCGAGTATTTGAACTTCTTGTAGTCTAAAACACTACCAGTATAACTCACCTCAAGGCTGGAATTGGTAGGTCCCATGGTGGACGTCTTCAAACGTACAAAAGTCACAAAAAAATATCGGATACTGTTCTCCACCACAGGCGAGGACATGTACCATGGCTGATAGACCGACAGATCAACTGCAGGAATAAAAGTGTCACATTCCACATGACTCTCAATTTCAGTCATGTGGATAGCATCACATTCCGGAGCATTAAGTGCTTCCCTGTAACCGTAATCATCAATATGTTATCTTTTGTACCAAATATAACTACAAATTAACAAACAAATTTCCTTGGAAGAAAGATAAACAAACCCTAATATCTGGCCACCTCCTATCATGAAAACCTTCTCTATCAAAATATTGTATGGGGATTCTGCTAACAATTTTAGAGCAGATGGAATACTGCCACATATGATGACATTCTCTGCAGTAGCAATATCAAAACTCCCAGAACGAGTGAGTATTACATTGAGGCGACCTGGCAAAGGTCGAAATTGAGGGGGAATGCTTTCCCAAGTTTTCCTCCCCATTATAACGGCATTCTTCTTCTCCTGATCTGAAGTAGTCATTGTTAACTCCTTGAAAAACTTAAGATCTGAAGGCAATTTCCATGGTAACTTGCCATCTTTCCCAATGCCCATATCACAAGTTGCAGCCACCACAACTTGGTAAGTCCTATGCAATGGTTGTTGAGTATTGGTGTTGCCATCAGAATGGCATGCGATTGAATTTTCACTCATAACTGAATACTCACAATAGGATCTCTGCTTAGTAAATACGTTTGGAACTCTAAAAGATCGTGTGAATGATGTCACTGAAGCTGAACTGAAGAAATTACTATGACAAGAACTTAATGTGCCCTGAAAACAGGAAAGGATACAAAATTATCGTGTCAACAAATCAGAAGGATAAAAAAGGTAAAGAGTACAATATTATCATGCCTATAAATCAGGGGAAAAAAAAATAGAAACAGGAATACTGCTTTGCAAATTTCAATATTCAAGACTTCATTCTATTACAGAAATAATCTCTATGTATGTTATCAAACTTTGAGAGAAAGAACACAATCACATGATGGATGAATTGCTCTACAGACAGAACGGAATAAAAGTAAATTTCAATGGAGGGGACCTTTCCTTTTGCTTGCACGAGGCAATCAAAATTTGCATCGACGAATAAACAGCCATTCTTGATCCTACTGAGTTTCACGAAAAACATATGATTTCTTCAGTACAATTGTGTCTGTGGCTTCCCACCTACAATACAGAAATACATTATTGAATAACCAAATTTCAAAAGAACCTCTACAAAATAAGCACATAGGTTCTCTCAGTAGAGTCAATCAGAAAGTCACAATTCACTCATATTTGATAACCATTTTAAAGAACAATAGTATTTGCACAATACAAATTGTATCTTCAAAAATATTGGGGGCATATAACTAACCAACAAATATGAAAAACAACCACAATTAAGATTTTATTCTCATAGTTCCAGTGTCAGCCTTTGCCACTACAGCCAGGGCCCCTTCATGCCAACTTGATATTCAAATTACAGTGTGAATTTGATGCACATGATTAGAGCCATGTTTGGTACACGCTAGTGTTCAACAATAATGCATCAATAGAAAATCTTAACTTAATTTTCTTCCTTAATCTATGGCAAGTCCTATCCAGAATATGAAACATGCTATTGTGGTATACACTTGCTAAGAAATGTCAAAAACGCATACCTACTTTCTCATCAGATGTTGTTTAATCTTTCATTTGGAGTCTTCGACACCAACAAAGACATTTTCATTACACATTCAAATCGAATACTAAAATACACAGTTGCACACTTACTTGTATACATAACAAAACTTCCATCTTTACAAGAAAGAATAGTAATATTCAAGTTCAATCATGCTAATTAAGCACAAGTTTCAGCGAAATATGCAACAGTTTTCAACACCATATGAATCTGACAAAAACAAAAAAAAGAACAAAAACAAAAATGGCACTGGACAAAAATTTTTAGTAACTTCTTATTCTGTAAAAGAGCAGATAATAAACGATGCAAGAGATTTAGTAGACATTTTGTTAAAACAGAAAAAACGCAGAAATTCTAAATCATCTGGAGGATTTTAGGCGCAAAATCTAAGAAAATGGAATATCAGACTTGAACCTGACGGGCTTGCGCAACTCCGGCATTTACGGGAGATTGAATTCAGGTTTGAAGTCGGAAGTTCATAAGAAAAGGATTCTTATTTTATTTTATTTCATTTCATTTTTATTTAAAAGGGAATCGTTAAAGCTAAAAGTGAAAAACTGAGCTAAATGTTTCATTAGCTTAGCCCCTTAAATTTATAATACAAATTTCTCACTCTTTTTTTTTTTAATCACATATTCTTTAATAAAATAATATTACACATAAAAAAAAAATCCCTTCTACAACCACACAATCTCCAAAAAATATTATTATTCCAACAATTATAACATTAAATAATGGAGACCAAACGGATACCTCCGTTACACTTGAATAATCGAAACTAAAAATGCGTGATTATTGAACTTTAATACATTGCATTTTGTCATTCACTCACCACTTCCAATAGTAACTGAACTTTTAAAATATTTTTGAGTCGTCATTGAAATTTAACATGTTGCATTGCATCAATTAATCACCTTGATCCGTTATCCTAAAAGTTATACGTCTATCACATTTTACTCACTAAATATTAAAATACTTTCGAGTGAACAATGAGTTGGTCGAGGAACGTTTACTTTATGAGTTTGGTTTAGTTGTACTTAACAAGCTAGAGTTCATAATGAATTGATCATGTAATGCTTGTTGTATTAAATATTTTCCCACCCAACTCCTTTTTGTGATCCTTTATATCTAATAAATACATGTTTTCAACTTTTCTCTTGTTCGCAACTGTTGCAAAAATTATGCTTCCATAGCTTGCAAAGAATAATGAATAGATTATCATCAACGAGGTGACAACGAACCCTTGAATTCGGTATCTAATAAAACACATTTTTTACTTCATTACTTGTTGAATCGATTATGATTTATGCTAATGATGAATAATGTTACTTCTCTGCAAATCATTTCCATCATATTACAATTTCAATCAAAACTAAGAGCATCTTATGTTATGTATGTGAAAAAAGATGGTAAAGATTTAGCGTCGATTTTCATATTCTCTTTGGTCTCTAACCTGTGATTCCTTAGAAACTGGTACAAATATATGCTTGAATAAAAATAATCGCAAACAATAATCATCTGAGAACTTCACGGATTACTGAAATTGGAAGAAAAAAATCATGTTTCACTCAAGAAAACCTAATGATGTATTCAAAACTCGAGCCTCAGTTTCGGGAAGAATTTACAAAAATAGAAATAAATGGTAGATTAACATAGTCTTTATAGATCCATTGAATAATTTTGATTATTTATAATCTCAGCACCGTCACAAAACTTAGGAACTTAGATTATGAATTATAATGATAAACCAGGAAGTTCACCTAGTATATAAGCCAGCCATTATATTATAGTTTCTATCTGTACACACATATATACACATGCTTTCGACCTGCATCTTGATGAAACCAAAGGAATGAATTGCTTAAGATGCAGGACCAATTGTTTCTATATACACAAGTCATCCACCAGCACCACCTAAAGAAAAAAGAAAAAAAGCGAGGTTTCCCCATTTTTCTTTGGGTCAAGGATGGGAAAAGCTAACACAATATTTGACCTCCTATGTCCAGTTCCTCTTAGACCGAAGTTGAGTAAGCCTGTCCCTCAAGAGAGCTGCAGTACGAAATCACAAAGTAAACATTCAAGTTTCTAAATCTTTATAATAAAAAGCAAGAAAACACACAAAATGATTATGTAGTTTGTGGGAAATAATTCCAAATCAATTCTCCACTATAAATATAAGTGAAATAATAAAAGAAAATGTCTCCAACAGAAGTCGAGGTACTGGTTTGTCTTCCAAGGTATTGGTTTGTTCCATCTTATTTGGAATTAAAAATATGCAGTCCACTGATATCTTATGACTGTACTCGTAACCATTTGAAGTTGTGAATAGAGTCTTTAATCATTCAATTTTTCCAATTAAATTTCGAAACAATAAGGTAGAAAAGCGAGAGCAAACAAGATTTACAAAGACAAATTTCAAAAAAATAATTATTCTAAATCATGATTAGAATGTCAACCTGCATCTCTGTATCGTTCCTCAACTGCAGCAATTAGCATGTTGCGCACGAGATCAAACTCCTCTGTTTCAAGGCATGGCTTTCCAGTAGGCCTGCAACCGCAACACCTTAGTTAGACCATACAAGAACTGAAAAATTGTACATTCACACCAACATGCATTATTAATGATGTAATAACGTTAATCGCCTCAAAACTTGCAGTCGAGCATGAATGTGTAATCTCAAAGTTCAATTCTCCACCAGAATAGTAATAGTAAACACGTCCTTGCTATGAACTTCATCAAAACCACCATAAAGGTTCCTGAGGGCTCATTTGGTACTCACTATTGAACTGAAATAGATTGGAGAGTATAGTACAACAAACAAGACTAAACATTTTTTTCTTATTAGGGGCTCTGGGATTATCGGCTGTACCTATCCAATTCAGTGACTAGCAAACCATCTGATAAAGAGCTCCGAACGGGCACTTTTGCAGATTCAATAACCCTCATGCCATCACTGTAGGCCAAGTATTTGTTGACTTGTATTGGCACCTATCAGATCAAAAAAACACATGAGATTTCATTGCTCGAGACTACTTTTTACATACAAAATGTCCGAAGTAAAAGAAGGCAAATATGAGCAATTTGTATGTATTTTATTGCTACAGTTCCTATATAATTAAGACCATGACCAGGCTTCTAACCTTCTACATTCACCCAATATCAGCCCAGAGCCCAACCGAAAAGTATATAAAAGAGACAGCCCCGTTGTAAAAGGAGGCCAAGAAATGTGAGGCTGCTGGATTAAACCATGAAATTCAAGTTGACTTGATGGCTAGATGTATCATCCTATCTGACACAATCTAATATTGTCAGAATCTTGAGACATGCAGCATCTTGCATTTGACTCGTCGATAGTATCGTTAGCAAAAAAAATAAAAAGTCAGAAGTTAAGTCCCTGAGCAAAGGGAAGATTTCGTTGCAAGCATCTAAAATGATAACCATATAAAAAACATTTATATGACCATCTTATTCAGAATAGGATATTCAGGCATATCAAAAAGAATGGTTGTAATTACAACTATATTCAATTCAGCTTAATTTTTCCACAGATTTGTGGATATTCCACAGTAAATATTTCTTTCAAAACAACTAAGATTGCACAAAATTAGCATATTCTTTACAAATAACTTAGTTCTTCATTTTGTCTATGGATGTATCTCATCATGCAAATACTACACGTGGGATCATAGATTCAATTAACCCCATATTATTCCCAAAAAAAAAAAGGCAAAAGAAAAGATAACACTGTGAGGAACTCTAAATTGTGTGCAAAATTTACCTTGCATCTCACAGCTATGTTAATGGCATCTGAAGGTCGCAGATCAAAGCTGACACATTCTGCTTCATTGTCCAACTACAATCATAGAAAAGAGAATAAACACCTAAGTCTCTCAAAAATTGTCTATGTGGCATGTTGGACATGTGCCCCACAGTATCAAGGAGTGTTGGACACAGGCTCCAGCGTCCACGGTTCACAGGTTATTTTTTTTCCAACATTTCACTCTGTAGTAGTATCACAATATCTTATATACCTTTATAAGCTGTAACTCGGCAAAATATGCTTCGTGTACCCTCTTGGTGACTCGAACAAGTTTCACCTGCAAAATGGCAAGCTGCTAATCAACAAAATGTCCAATTGTATGATCAAAGAGTAATTAGGCAAGTGTAAAATGAGATTCATTAGCTCACCGTATAGCCCATCTTCTCAATCATATCCTTCACCACTTGATACACAGTAGGCCTAGCCTGAATACAGCCAACAAATTAGTTTTCAACAAAACACGATTTGAAGAGAAATCCTCTATTTAAGTTTGACAGCTCAAGCAGAACCAGGTAAGGATGAAACTTACAATTTGGACATTGCGTACAGCTGCCATTAGCAGCACACTTGGCATCTCCACTGTAATTAAAAATCAATAGATAGTGAAGTATCAATTTAGCACTTGTAAAAGACACTTGAAAATAATCACAGTTCAATATATGCATACAAACAATTATTGGAAGAAGAATGCCCGTTCCGTCTTCCATCTTCAATACAATTGCTGGATGTGGAGCATAATCTGGCAGATGACCCCCTTGAGGATTATTATGGACACATCTCAAATGCCTACCATCTCTCATCTTGATCATGAAACCATCCGGGCTACTCCTCACCTCAACTAAACAATCAAATAGACACAACTATCATTTGAAACGTCAACTGACCAAAAATTTTCTTGCAAGAACATGGGGAATGTATATATTAATTTAAATATGTAAGAACTGGGAAAAGAGTTGTGCCGATATGAAGCTTGCTTTTAGATTTTTCAATCAGACAATTAATGAAACAATGAATTTTTTTTTGATGCGGCAGGGCATACGATGGCAAAAAATGAGAAATGGGAGAATAATCTTTAACAATTACATCCTGATTCAAATACAGAGATCTGAGTTCTCATGTCCAAACTTTGGAACTCAATAAATAAAATAAACATAGTCTTTCATTTACATCTAACAGACTATCATTGAAAAATATTGAAATGGAAACAAACAATTTCAATTTTAAAATAGCATACCAGCTTCAACCACACTGGAATTCACATAATCAGCGTCATTTTCGTTAGAATTCCCAGCCATGCTCCCATTACCATTCGAAGATGAACTGAAACTACACATAATAGTCTTGCCTTTAGGTGAATCCTGTTGATAACCTACATTTATCTTACCGCTGTTGATCCCTCTAATCCCCCAGAATTCACTTCTGATGAACTTAGCATTTGATAAGGGTGATTTTACCGGCACAGAGTACATTCCGATTTGTTTTGCACGGACCATGGGGGAAAGAACCGGACCATGAAGAGAACCCATCTCAAATTTTCTGTAATCCATCATATATTTAATAAACATATAAACATACACCTAATATTCATTATCGAACAATCAATTAATATAATTACAATTAAATCAATTACTCTCTTTTTATAATTATTACTTGTCACAGAGAAGCATCTACATTACTTGTAGAAAAAACGATTCTTGAAACAAAGTTCCTCATATTAAATATAATAAAAATTATGAGTTACATATATCAAATGTTAATAAGCTCTATCGGTTTAAAAAAAAAAAAAAAGGAGGAATATCAATATCCCAGAAACATTATGTAAAATTAAATACAACAATGAATAAGCCATTACAATACATAAATTACAGATTAAAAGTCAGAAGCTTCAGCGTTGATCTTAGATGATTTTACACCAGTCAAATTAAGCCAAGATTCCATTAATATCTCACAAAAACGAAAGGTCAAACTGAAAACTCAGTTAAGTTATTGTGTGTGTGTGTGTATTTCTTTTACGGGATAAGCTTTTGATATTTATCTTTATCGGTACACTTCTTCAAAAATTAATTACAAAAGTTTTTCGTTGTGTACACCTGAAACACCTTCAGATATAATCTTCAACAAGCTCGATCAAGAACTTCCCTCTCACCGATCGGGGGTTTGAGCACAACCCAGTAAAAATCTTCGCTTGATTTCTCAAAAAATTTCACACAAATTATGAATTTATGGCAAATTTAAGAGACGGGCATCAAGCAAAAGTGATCTGTAAGGGATATACAGACAACCTGTATATATACCAGCGGGTTGAATGTAGAGTTTTGGATAATAAAGGACTGACAAGAGCGGGATACTAGATAAAGGAAAGAAGAATTGGTGCAAGCTAGAGAGAGAGGAGAAGAAGATAAGAGATTTTTGTTGTAGAGAGACAGAGAACAAGTAGAGCGTTACAATCAAAAGACGAACTACTAAGAGGATGAATGAATTAGGACATCAGTTTGTGTTGAAAGTCTTATGATTCTTCTGTGAAATTTTTATGTTCAAGGACTGATATACCCTTTTGATTATGCCATATTTGCTTAAACAATTATAAGTTTACTAAAAAAAAGTAAAAACAAAATATGTAATACTTTCTCTGGTATGCAAATCTTAATGTAGAAGTTACTCTTTGCATTGCATTCTACAAAATTTTACAACACAACTGCAGATTAGATAGAATATAAACAAGGTTATAAATTATAGTATCCTTTTAACTTGATAAAATCAAAAGTATATAATTTATTTTTGAAGAAATAATAAATTGAGGAAGTTTAATTGAATATATTATTTCTTATATAGAAAGAATCGATAATAGTTTAAAAATGGGTAATTGGCACAACATGTTTCTACATTTCAATGTTATTGTGCAAAATATCCATATATTTTATTTTTTGACATTTTCACCCATATTTTCATCTTTCATTGCGAAAAATGCCATTTTCACCAATTTTTAATGTAAAATGAACAATATACCCTCCTATTTAAATAAAAGAAAAGAAAAACATAGAACGAATTGCAATCTCACTCCTAAACTTTTCAAAAATTTACTTTGCTGGCCTTCATCTCACCAACCGCCTCTTAAAACACTGGAGCTCACATAGCAAATAGCTGCCATTAACCCTCAAACACGTTCTCGTAAACAAATTAAACAAACAACAAACTTATATGGCTAAAAAAAAATGCTATCTTTTCCTTCAACTACGACGTCGACAGTGGTTCCTACCATCGTGGACCACCCATTCTTGCTCCACCATATCACGCCACACCTGCTACAACAATGGGCTTCCATAAATTTCATTCTAATATGCCCCAGATTTTGGGCCAGTTATTGCCCAATAAAAAATTGAATGTTGTTGCTATAGATTTTGATTTTGTGCATGTATTGATATTTTAAAACCATGAAGAGAGGCGCCCCCGGTGAGTATAGTTGATTGAATGGCATGGGTCTTGCCAAAATAGGTGGTGACGCCAGTATTTGCATTCGCGAGTTTGGTATTTTAGCTTGCAATTCCAACCAAATCCGTCGGCATGAAGGTTGGATGTTGGGTGGTATGCGTAGAGGGTAGTGAGAGCTTTCCGATGATAGGTTCGACAGTTTGGGCATTGTTGACCTATTAATGACAATCGGACTCGTCGGATCGAGTTGTCCCTAGCTCAACCCGAAAAAGGTCTGAGCCAAAGCTCAGATCGAGCCCCATTTTAGGGACCTTAATTTTTTGGCCAAGCTTTTGCTTTGCTCAGCTTGGGCCAAAAAAAGCACACTTTCAAAAAACCCGAGTCAAGCCCGAGCTAGGAGTTTCAGCTTGCGAGTCAACTCGACTCGTTGACACCCCTAGGTTGACTAGATTTTTTTGGCTTCTAAAGTGGAGGCCATATTTGGTGGTGGAGGAGGCAAAGGGAAGGAGAAGAGAAGAATAGAAAAGAGAGAGATTTTTTTAATATTTTAATAATTTATTACGACTCATTTGCACTTTTTAAAAAGTTTAGGATTAAGATTGCAATTTGTTCTTTATTTTTCTTTTCTTTTTTGTTTTATTTAAATAGTGGGAATATTGGTCATTTTATGTTAAAAATTGGTAAAAATAACGTTTTCCGCAATGAAAGATGAAAATAAGAGGTGCAATGCTAAAAAATGAAAGATAAAAACGTTTTACACAATAACATTGAAAGGTAAAGATGTTTTGTACTAATTACTTATTTAAATTTTTTCAAACAACATAAAAACCAAAGCAACCACTAGCATAGCAATTAATAATCAAAAGTGAAGTGTTGTAAAATTATAGGATAATTATTAATGGCTATTAGTATTTAGCCATATTTGACACTCAAATTTTAAAATTCATTTTTCTTTCAAACTTAATTTTAAATACGCACGAAATTCACAATGTTTATCAACTTTTTAATCATAGATTTCATCAATTTTTATTAAAATATATAAAAATTTAATTTTTATCCAAATCAAACATGGACATTGTCTTATCGTTATACATAGATGAGTCTTACTTATTTTATAAGATTTTATTATGTTCAAATAGTAATAGTAACTCTCATTGAAATCACATATGCGAGTCATTCTTATAATAAAATATAAATTTGAGTTTTGAACCTATTAATTTTTCATCAATAATTCTGTCTTTTTCTTTTAGTTTTACAGCAATATAACAATTTTCTCATAGAAATGAAGCTATACGATGCATTATTTTCAACTTGATCCAAGGCATCATTCTTAATTAGGACTGAACAAAACTCTCGAATCGAACCCAGCTAGAACTAAATTAAATTGAGTGATTCTTCTTAAATTAAATACTCGAACGGGTATCGCAATCTAGAACAGAAGGGATTTGGTTTGGTTATCATTTCCAAATCAATAACCGAAGAACCGAATATTCCTAATTTTTTAATTTTAAATAAGCAAATTATTTTATATTTTTCTAAAAAAATTTATAAACTAGTTAATTTAACTCAAACCCAAAAATATTATTTTCCTATTTCTAATTTTCAATCCAAGCCCAATTTAATCAAATTGATTTATGTTTTACTTGAATCTGTTATTCTACCGTTTTCGAGATATCGAATTGAAGCTCGATTGCGCATCTCTTAATTGTTGTGAGCTCGCTATATTTCTATTCCCTATTATTTTAACAATCAAATCTATAAAAAATTCAACAAAGAAAAGCAAAAGATACATAAGATTGGACTAGATCTAAAATTGAACATGTCATTAGTGAAATTAATGTAGTCTTGTAAGTATTAAAAATTTTAATTATAGTACGAAACTCGAGAACCAAATCGGAATGAACTAAATCGAACTGAACAAAATGGAACCGAACCTAAAGAGTTCCTTGATTAAATTTGGACCCGATGATTCCCTCTTTTTAAATACCTAAAAATTTGAAAGAGAATTGAATCGAATCGGACCATGTCATGCCCAACTCATCAACTCCGACTAGGAATAGTTTGCTATGGTGATAACTATTGCCTACAATCCATTGCCGAGAAAGACACATTTTTATTTAAAACAAATAAAAAATCTTTTTCAATTATTTTATCTACAAGAATTATATTTTTATTTTATTGAGTAAACTCTTATTCCATATTCTCTTGTTAGGCATAAGATTATTCTTTATCAACCCGCATTGGTAGGGATTAAAATTTAATTTAAGTCAAAATTAACAATTAATTTTAACTACAAATTTTGCAAAGATAAAAGAAAATTTAATCATATATTTCATTAACTTTTATAAAAATTTACTAAAATCTAATTTTAATCTCCATCTAGCTATGGCTAACAATGATTCATTTTATATTATTTTTTCCACTAAACCCTTGTTTGAGTCTCATTTTTAGGAGAAATACATTTTTGAATAATATATTGGTGAAAAATATGTGATTAAAAATAAAAAAATTTTAAACTTATGTATAATGTTATTTTCTTGAATAATATGTTTTTAAAATAATGTTAAAATACTGTTTAAAAATATATTTTTTTAAAATAATGTCAAAATACTGTTTGAAAACAGGGCTAAAGAATATTTATGATTTTTCAATTTTCACCACAAGCTGCAGTTTTTATTTTATTATTATTATTATTTTCTTTTGGACAAAAATTTGTTGCTTTGGATTACGTTAGCATTAATCATTCACAAGAATCTGACTCACACAGCATTGCCGGCGCCGATATTTAATCGCTTAGATGAGTGCCACGTGTGAAGCTATTACTCTTACGATATGGATAAGAAGTCCTTGGAATCTAAATTTAGGTCATTTGAGACCCTCATTTGCAAAATTCCGTGGTCCATGTGAAAGAATCTCACTATTAAGCCCCGTTCGATCCCCATTTTTTGTAATGGAAATGAGAAAAATAGTATTTAAAAGAATAAAAAATTTCGATTCACGTGTAATATTATTTTATGAAAAATTGTATGGTTGAAAATAGGAGAGAGAAAAATAAAATGTAATGAAATGTAATTTAATGTGGGCCAAACGGGAGGCTGAATATTGATTTGATTGTACACAAACTTATAAATCTGACAAAACGGAAAAAGACAAGAAAATGAGAGAAATTTCTTACATATTTTGCTCTTTTCCCGTGGTCACATCAAGTATTCCTATGCGGGATTCATCTGTATACAAAATTTCCCAAAAAATTCACCCACCCATCCTTATTGTGAATAGTCTCGGTGTGAATCTCTACCTTATACCCCAAACTCAATTCATTTTAGTTTGGGAGTAAATGTACAAATTGGAGAATAACATACCTACCGTGAATTCAATGTTTATCTATTTTTAAATGAAATTTTCTCGAGTGTTAAAATAATCATCGCCTTTAGCTTCTAATTAATTATGGATAAATTGTCGTTGTTACGCTCCTATCTGAACCGCCTCGGAATGGCCACCACCACATATTATGACCTGATAGATACCCATCTGAAGTGTTTCCGAAGTGATCTCACCAATGTCAACGACCTGATAACACACTGAGACACATAGACGATCCTGCTGAAGCCGAGGCGAGGTGGACCTCTGTCAGAAGATCTGCTGCCAATTTCAG